GCTCCAGAAAACACTCTGCTTCAGTCAGGGTCCTGGAAGTCCTGTGGGTGGGCTCGGGCCAGCCCCTTAACAATGCAGAAACTACAACCTGGGGAGACAAAACACATGGGGTGGCTTCAGGAAATGGTAGGAAGGAAGCAGGGGTGATCAGGCCACCAGACTGGTGCCCTCTAATCCTCATAGAAATACTAGAGGTAGGCACTGCTACTCCATGCCTGACATCAGTGTCAGGATGTCACTTAGGCTAGCCTGCCTCCTAGGCGGAGTGCAAGACCATGAAGCTCAGATGAAAAAAGAAATCCTGGTTTTGACATCTAGGACCAATATGCTCCCAGCAGTCCTGCCTTGGGGCACCATAAAGCTCCCAGTCATAACTCCACAGCTCATACTGAATCAGGATTCCTGCTAGGATCCCTGAGGACTGAGGACCTGAGAGTATTCAGGACTCCAGCTCAGCTATACAGACCATGGTATGGAGGGGAAGAGATGTGGCTTCTAGTAATACTAGAAACTAAACATAAGGGGATCAATCCAAGGGTGACTGTTGATCTTAATGTAAAAAAATTTGAATGATCCACCTAACCTAAGAGCTTGAGGCATGCATGGCCTTGGAGGGACCTGCTAATCCTTTAAGAATGTCCATGACAGGCATTGCTGACAAAGCTACCAGATCAAGGAAAAGAGGAAGGAATGATGGGGAGGATGGGGTCCCATGTCCAAAGCCAGACACATGCCTGACCCCATCGAGACATGCAGACGAGAGAAAGGGAGATAAGCAGGGTGCAGCTGAGCACCTGCCTGTGCTGTACAAGCCTGGGGAAGCCACAACCTTCCATGGCAACTCCGCTGAGCATCTGAAAACTCTGGGAAGTTACCAGCCTCTCATGTTTAACTGCAGCGCTCCTCTTTCATGAGGAAAGTGTAGATCAGACTAATTAATGTGTGTTGTTTGTTTACCCTCCTTTCATTTCCCTGAGACAAAATAATTATCCAGAGCTTTGGAAACAGCCTCGTCTGTGGCAGTCCCTTCTGTGTCTTCTGTACAGCAGCTTCTTATGTGTAGACAAGGAAGCCAGTGCAGGCCATGGCAGATCGCAGCAGCCAGGAAGGTCCTCCTATACAGGACACTGCTGAAGAGGAGACCCTGGGATAGCTGTGAAGGATTTGGAGTGGCACCATTGAGGACCAAGGGACTCAAAGCTGCTTCATCTTACAGGGTCACTGTGGTAGCACAGCTCCCACTAGCCCCTGGAACTGCTACCCCAGATCCTGCCCTCCACCATCCCTATAGTGGTGACCAGAAACATGCCCATGCCTGCCCAGGGCAGGCAGAGATCCCTGCAAACTAGAGACTTTGCCAGAGGGTTTCTGGGGCCTCAAGAGTGGGGGCGTTGGTGGCACACACCTTTAGTCCCAGCACTTGGGAGGCAGAAACAGGCGGATCTCTGTGAGTTGGAGACCAGTTTGGTCTACAGAGTAAGGTCCAGGACAGGCTCCAAAGCTACACGAGAAACACTGTCTTGAAAAAAAAAAAAAAAAGGGGGGGCAGCTGAAGATGGATTCTCTGTCCTCATCCCCTAAAGCCCCATCCTAGCCAATAGCCAATCCCAATCTGATTAGCCAAAGTCAGGGTTGAGCCACATGGGATGACAGAATTGGGTAATTTTTCTCAGGAAGCCTTTGATGAAGAAACGCCTGACTCATGGGGTTGCTGTGGTGGACACTGCAGTGGCTCTTAGAGGTACAAACCTACCTCCTCCCTGATACTTTCTCCATGTGTCATCCATGTAGCCCACATTATTGCCCACAGGTCAAACCTGACCCTTACTACAGGGAGACTGACTGCACAAAAGCTTCCCCAACTGAGTGTGCACTCAGATCAGCAATCTGTTCATTCCTTAGTGGGTTGTTTCTGCATTTGTTACTTCCCTCCCCAGACAGGGTGGCCAAGAGCCAGGGCTTGGCCTCAGATAGACTCTTCCTGGAGCTTATGCTGGAGGGAATCCTAGAAAGAGCTCCAGCTCCAGGCCAAGTGACAGCCTGCTGTAGGGAGGGGCTGTGATCACAAAATGCCTTGACAGGGTCAAGCAAGTGTCCCCTGAAGGAGAGAAGTCTCAGTTGAGCCCTAAAAGGTACAGAAGGGATGGCAGGAGTCAAGAAGGGAGTTCAGGAAACAGCTGCAAGCAGGTGCAGAGGGTCTGGCAGCAGCTGCAGCTGGAAAGGGGACTCTGTGGCTGGAGCCAGGGTGGGAGCGGGAAGAGAGCACAAAGACAAGAATACAAAGGGCCAGACAGATTATGAGCCTGGACTGTCAGCAGAGGGAGAGGGGAAGGGAGGGAAGGGGTAAAGAGATGTTAAGCAGACCCTTCTGGGTGCTGCACAAATGTGAGGGGGACACTAATGATCTTAGTCAACAGTGATACGGAGGGAAAGAGGAAGGGAGCCTTGGAAGAGAGTCTGTTCAAGACTCTGAGGTGACATTCAAGTGGCCCAAGGAGTATGGCTGGGGCCCTTTAGAGTCTTGGTGCTGAATTCAGGGACCACTGCTGTCTGGAATGCCTCAGGAGACCCCATCCAACTGCCCATTGCTCCTGCAGGGTCTGCCTCTGGCCCCAGGAGGTCTGGCAGAGATGGGTTGGTATGGGCAGCTCCATATCCTGTATTTCTTCCTCTAGCCAGGAGGGGTTCTGCCAGCTCCTCATTGAGGGCTGTAAATTGGCTAAGCTCATCCAGGCAAGTGGGATAAGCAGTGAGCTGTGGCTCTGGCTCCAAGCTGGAGTCCTCCCTCTGGTAAGCGGTTGGGATATTAAACAAGCATAGTGCTCTGGCATCACCCAAGCCAGGCAGCAGGTGTGGGAGGTTACTGTCCTGAGAAGCCCTCACTTGACTGTGCTTACTTACTAGAAAACACCTGTTGCTCCAAACTGTGACCTTCCAGTGTTGGCTTCAAAGTGACTTCCCTTGAGGAAAGTAAAATCTTTGTGCTTCTTGTTCATCAGAACTAGACACAGCTATCAGCTTACTCTCCTCTTTGGACATGAAGCCCTGCTCCCCATCATCAGCCTTGGCGATGGTGGCTGCAGGGCTGACAGCTGTGGGGAAATCCCCACCTCCCCAACAGCTGGAGGAAATGGCTGCCTCCTCTCTGGCACTAGCATCATGATCTACCTCTGTTCATTTATCCTATCTCTTAAGGACCTGCCACTTTCGCCTTGAGACTCCCTGGAACATTTGTGTAGCACCTTCCCTCTTAAAGCACCTCATTTTCTGGGGAGGTAGGTATATTCCAAAAAACAAGAAACACAAACTGCAAAGACCAGGTCACTGTTCTGGGGGACAAGCACCCCCAGTAAAAGTACTTAAGCTACTCCAGCAAGGAAGTGAAGAATCCTCTCTAGAAGCTGATGTCTAAGCTGAGCTGTGGACAGGGTGAGGGAGCAAGAAGCAGAGCTATGGGAGAGCCTCAGGGTGAGGTCCTGGCACCACTGTCCAAGTGAGTAGGAGGTGAGCATAGTAGGTGAACAGGCCGCTGAGGAAATGTCCCTCCAGCCACAATGTAAGTGGAGGCTGATAAAGTGAGTGAATTGTGATACTGTTCTCAGCTCATACTGAGATGCTTCACTGGGGACAGAAGGACAGATAGGACAGGAGGACTGAGGGAGGGTAGTATGAATGATATCTAGGTCTCTAGTTTGGATGATCAAAGTCTCAAGAGGGAGGAGAGAATGAGGGGCCAGGATGAATGATGGCAGCCTTGGCCAGAGGTGTAAGGGGTGGAAGGGGTGTTGATCAATGAGAGAAACAAACATTGAACTTACCTGCTTGGCCTAGAAACCAAAATGCAACTCATTCATCGAGCATTTTCCCCTCAAGAGGAGCAGTGTTGGTCCCTGGAGGCTGGGTAAACATAGAATCTTGTCTTTATTGACTGGGTAATCAGCACGGTCAATGCACCTGTCTGGGTGTGGTCAGGCCTGCTCTGGAAACTAGTATGACTCGTACAGCATGGGGCAGGGACCCAGGATAGATGTATTTAGGTTGCTGTTGGCTTTGCCTGAAGCTGTAATTTGGAAGACAAGCTGGAGAACTAATAAAGCTTTGACCCAGACCCACACAGCCCCAGGAAGCTTCTCCAAGTGTCCAGAGTAACTGGGTAAACTCTTCATTCTGAAAGCTGGTGAAACAGTCTATGCCTGGGTACCCCTGGCTAGAGTTCTGCCAGGGCACCATGGAGTAGGACATAGAGCTTAGTCTGTTGCTCAGGAAGCTGGACCATGGTCAGATCAGGCTGCATGTGAATGAGACTTCCCTGCTCTTCTGCCCAGCCTGCCACGCTGCCCTCTGCCCTGTAACCTTTGGCCCCTCTGGTCTTTCCTGGCCTAGCTGGCACTAGATAAAAGGTAAACATATTTGCAGCATATTAGAGGTAACCAAGGCTGCTGCCTGTCCATTTCAAACACACCCTGACTCCCACAGGGCTTTACTTGCTTCTAGCCAGTGTCAGTCCAGGCACACACTCAAATTGAAATTGCAACACACCCCTTTGTACCCATAAAGCTATGCCCTTTTGTAAACATGGGCCATTTTTTTAAGCAATTAAGTTACAGAGTCAAGACAGCCAGTTAGCGACAACCATATACAAAGCTGTTTATTCCAAGAAAACAAGACTATATAGACAAATGGAATGTGGTGGGGCATTCTTCTGGCCCTGAAACACTCCAGGTAAAACTGATTCTCTAGTTTTCAGAACAATCTAATTTAGTAATGATCTCCCTCACTCTGTTTCTCCAGGTTCTCAACAAGCTTTGGTATCCCAGCATGGCCCCTTGAGGTGAACCATGAATGTCTGCAGGACACTTACTACTAACTACCCAGAGTCACATCTTGCCAGGTGACCTGTCCTCCACCTGCCCTCAGCTTGCCCACCCCTGCCTGGGAAAGTGCTGCAGCTGCCACGGACACCATGTAGTAGGGCCGGCTGCGGCGCCCAGTGAGCTGCAATGGTTTTGTACACGACTCCCTTTCCTAATAGCTGTCTGTCCGCCCTCCATGCTGTGTCCTGGGCCCTCATCTTCCCATGTTACTGGCTGGTGGACCGGCTGGTAGCCTCCTTCATACCCACCACCTATGAGAAGCGCCAGAGGGCAGATGACCCTTGCTGCCTGCAGCTGTTCTGCACTGTACTCTTCACACCAGTCTACCTGGCTCTGTTTGTGGCTGCATTACCTTTTGCCTTTCTTGGGTTCATTTTCTGGTCTCCATTGCAGTCTGCCCGCCGGCCCTACTCATACTCCCGGCTAGAGGATAAGAGCCCAGCTGGAGGGGCAGCTCTGCTTAGCGAATGGAAGGGCACAGGGGCTGGCAAAAGCTTTTGCTTTGCCACAGCTAACGTCTGCCTTCTTCCTGACTCACTTGCAAAACACAACAATGTTTTCAATACCCAAGAACGGGCCAAAGAGATTGGGCAGAGAATCCGAAATGGGGCCGCCCGGCCTCAGATCAAAATCTACATTGATTCTCCCACCAACACCTCCATCAGCGCAGCCAGCTTCAGTAGCCTGGTGTCTCCGCAGGGCAGTGATGGAGCTAGAGCTGTCCCTGGTAGCATTAAGAGGACAGCCTCTGTGGAATACAAGGGGGATGGTGGACGTCACCCCAGTGAAGAGGCTGCCAATGGCCCAGCCTCTGGGGACCCGGCCGGGGGGC